CTCGAAAACGCAAGAACACGAAACCTAGAAGTTCATCCTAAACCCAAAAATTCAAACGCCTGTCCAGAAAAATTAGTGGATGAAATCCCCAAAAACTAATTAAAACCTCAAAACCAGAAATTGAAATGAACAAACGCGTGCAAATCTAACCCGAACCCAGAAAAATCAAGTAATGAGGTGAAATTGCAAACCTGAGATGAAGAACACAAAGAACATGAAGAACACTCAAACCCAGGAACCCAGAAAGACCCAGAAAACCCAACTGCTAAAATGTCCCAAAATTTGGGTTTTTGCTATCGATTTTTATCCTCCCTCAACCCAGAATTCCTCTCCCAATTTTTTCTCCCCCTTCTTTCTGTGAAATTCAAACGTTTTATAGCAAAAACATTTCCTAAAATTGAATCGAAATCCCTGAATTTTCTGTCAAAAATCTTCATCTTCAATTCATGATTAATTATGAAATCAAAATAGGAAATTCTCATTGATTCCTATTAGCGTTGGTTTTGGCAACAAAATCCATGATTAATACACAGTCAAAAAATAAGAAATTCATGAAGGATTTGGGCAGATTCTCCCAAAGATTTTCGGAGAGAATCTGCCTTGGAGCGAACGACAGATCGTTGTCTCCATTTCGGTCCTGTCGTTCTCTCCAAACTTTCAGTGTGGTCCTCGCTTTTCAATTTCAGCAATTACGCCCCTCTGCGAAATAATTTCAGTATAATCTCAACAATTAGGTCTCTGGAGGTGCAATTTAAGGCCTAAACGTTTTAATTGACTCGATTACACCCCTAATTACTTCAATTATATCCCTAAATGAATTTTTTTTCATCATTTTCTTTCTTCTTTTTTTTTCTTTTTCCTTAATAAACTTCAAATTAAAAACAAAAATAATAAATAATAAATAAAATAAATAAATAAATAAAATAAGAAAATTTTGGGTTATTACACAGAATAGCATTTGTTGAACAAAGAAGACATTGGATTGAATTCATTCTGAAGCCTCCACAATTTACTTCATAATTTTTATTTTATTTTTTTACTAGTAATTAGGATGAGGAATCTCGGTGGTACTATATATCCATTCATCAATTTTGTCAAATTCCGAGAGGCAGTGAGAAAATCAGGGATGCTCCTTCGATTTGTACTAGAGTAATTAGGATGAGGAATCTCAGTGGTACTATATATCCATTTCTTTTTTCCAACGCTTTGTCCTTGCCTTTAATTCAGGTCCTAGACCCTCCTTCCAAAAAAAAAAATTTACATTTATTCTATGAATCAAATCTATTATGAACTTTAATATATTTAAAAATTAATTTTTTTAACTTCTAATTTCGAATTTTATCTCTCCTAGACTTTATTTTTTAGTTTTAGTCCATACTTTAGTTTTTTGTAAAATAATAATAATAATAACAATCATATAAATATTTCATTATAGAAATAATCTACTAAGATTTATTTAGATCCTTTCACAAAATTTAGAACCATTATGATTTTTTTTCTATAATTTTAATGTTTAGATAATAAACAAATGTATTTTTCGACTTTGAAAAATTTTGATTTTGATTTTTTTTTAGAAAATGCATTGAATTTTTTTTCAATATGTTTGTAAAACTTCAGCTCAAAATACAGAGGGATGGATGAATTCTAAAAGTCATAAGATAGGCTTTTTTTTTTTTTTTTTTTAAATAAAGTTTAGGGAAGATAAAATCCGAAATTAAAAGTTGTTGAAATGATTTTTAAATGAATTAAAATCCACAAAAAGTATGGCCCATTTATCCTTATTATATTAGTATTATCTAATACTATTGTGCCATATAAACAACACATAAGCATTAGATGACCATGACACATAAATTAAGCAAACAAAAATATGCATAGATTACTTTAAAAAAATATTTCTTACTCAGCTGCTCGACAGGAATTGTGGTACATATGCAGAGTTAGAAGGTTAAAAGAGCCAAACCTCTCCTGAAATTTACTCCTTTTTTGAAAATCAATATCTGAACTTCTAATTTCAAAATTAACCTCCTTTGAATTTATTTATTAATTTTTTTTTAAGATTTAGTTCATTTTATAATTTTTAGTTATCACTTGACACTCATCTCTCTTAAAAATTCAATTCTTGATATTTTGATCTAAAGTTTTACAACTACATAAAGAAAAATTTAATCTATTTTCTTGAAAAATCATAGGTAAGAAAATATATATTTTCTTTTTCTGAATATTAAAAATAAAAAAATAAAAAATAATCCAAATTGATCCCAAATTATTTGGAGAGACTAGATAAATTTTAATAAATGATTTTCATTGTGGACGGGGCTATTTATGTTACCAATTTTTATTTTACAAAAAAACTAAAGAATGAACTAAATCTTCAAAAAAAAAATAAAAAAATTCAAGAGATATCATATCCAAAATTAGAAGTTTAAAAAATGATTTTTAAATATACTAAGATCCAAGAGATGTTGGACCCATTTAGCTAATTTAGAATTCTAAGATTATTTTTGTACTATATATTTTAACTTCAATTCATTTATGTAATATTAGCTTATATATATATATATATATATATATATATATATATATATCTCGTCTTAACTTTGACCCTTAATTAAATTAATTCTTCGTTTTTTTTATTTTTTATGAATAACGATGATTAATATTTCACTCACAAATGTTATACATCGTCAAAGGTTTCAAACAATATACTTCCAAATCAATATATATTGTTCTTTTTCATGCATTATTGCATATATGTGTATACAAAAAAAAAAAAAAATCAATCAACTTTAATGATTATCAAATATTTTTTCATAATAATAAGAAAACAAATAATACCAAAATTGACAAAACACAATATAAACTACTATATTCCCAATTAAAAATATGGTAATTAATATTTGATAATAAGTATTCGGATCAGCATTTCTCATTCCCATTCAACATCTTGCTTTGCTTTGTCATCCTTCGATGAATTTTGAGCTAGACACCACTTGGTTTTTTTATTCTTCAATAAAATAAAGACTGCGCAAAAATTATTTTTGATATTATAAATTATGTTTCTATAATATAAATTCAAAAACGTAAGGAAAGTAGGCATTGCTTGTACATTGCTTAAATACTCTAAATACTCAATTTATTTGTCACTAAAGTTAAAGAAAGGAAATTTCATAGCTACTTTACATTGATCTAAATACTAAACTTATTTGTTTGTATAATTTTCTCCAATATCTCAAATATTTTTAAAGATGTCATTAGTTTGATATTTATATGTGTACATAGACTTTTTGAGATTTAGAAATTAGTTGTGCATGAGAATATATAGAAATTAAATCATACAAAACAAATGTAGAGAAGTTAAATCATACATATCTTATGCTAATTTTTATAGTATATCTCTCTCTCACTCTTTTTTTTTAAAGCTTTTTACGACTTGAATTAGGAAAGTTTCTTCTCAACATACAAAACTGGAGACTAAATTGATACTTAAAAAAAAAAACGATAAAATAAATAATAATTGACCACAATGAAATAAATCTAGCTAGTTAAGCATCATGCAAATCAACTGATCAAACCGATTGATCGATCCCGCTTGATTTGAGTTGATTTCATGCAAGTTGAATATCATTAATTATTTTTTTATAGCATGCAAGCATTAATTGCTTGCACGACTTCAATGAGATAAATAATTGACTATCTAATGCAACAATATGATTTTATTTACTCTTGGTTTGAATTATTCTAACATTATTTTTGTAAAATATATTTACTAATTCATTAGTCTTCATTATATACATATATTTTAACTTGGGTTCATTTATGTAATTATATTAACTTCTTTATTAATTTATCTTTTCTTAACTTTGATCCATAATTAAATAATTTTTCTATTTTTTTATGAATAAAATGATGATTCCTGAGCAGAGATCAATCTTTAGTTTTTATTATATACATGGAAGATGGAGTAATATTTCACATTGCCAAAGGTCGAACATGGTTTATGCGCCGCTAATGTAGCGGCTTGTCAAGCATTCCAAACACTACTTCCAAGTGTCAATATATTGTTGTTCTCATGCATAATTCCAAAAACTAGATTTTTCATATTCAATTTGGCTCAAAGGGAGGCAATTGATGATGCCAATGTATATTTGCATGTTGAACTAGTTTAGGTACCGTAATCGGCAAATTGCTAAATGCCTTAATCTACATCCCCAAAAGCTCTAATTCTGTAATGCCATCAGCACCAATAAAAAATGAGTTACTGTCCAATTGCAAAAAACTTAATGTTTCATAAAATTACGAACTATATATATTTTAATAATTTTATTTTAGTTTTTTAAAAATTATATAAAAAGGTCGTTAACTAAATCTTCGATAACAATACTAACATCGATCCGATTTTCCGATCAAAATTTTGAACAACGCTAGCATGATAAGTGACAAAACACGACACGTGAACTTTAATAAGTTATGTTGGATCCATGTAAACATGACACGTGGACTATAGCAAGCCGCACAGGATCTACGTAATTAATTTTTTATGTCACTCGCTTATGTAGATCCTACATAGCTTGTTAAAGTCTACATATCATACTTACACAGACTGTCATGTTAGCATTGTTTGAAAATTTGATCAAAAAATCAGATCTATGCTAGTATTATTATCGAAACTTAGTTAGTAATCTTTCTATAAAATTTTTAAAAAACGAGTTAAAATTATTAAAAAGTTTATAATTCGTAATTTTCTGAAATATTAAGCTTTGTAAAAAAAGAAAAAGAAAAATTAAGAGCACAATAGGTTACTTTTTAACAGGACAGAAGCAGAAACTTAGCCTATTAAAACAGAAGAGTTAACTTTTCTTAATTAGTCCTAACCAATATAGCTAGGCCTTAATTATTTTGAATACTAAAAACATGAAAATAAACTGGAAAAAAAAAAGAAAAAGAAAAAGAATCGATCGCCTGAACTTGAGGCAAAATCAAGCAAGAGATAATAAAGACTATTTCCAGTCTACTGAGCTAAATTCTGTGACATCTTTCCCAGCCCACTTCTTCATGCGTTCTGTTGATTGTTCCACCTGCAAGTGATCCACAAGTTTAGTATTCGTCATGCTTCCTAATAATCAATCCAATCATCAAAACCAAACAACAATAATATTCATCAATCAATAACATAATTACTAAATCAACAAGCCACAGGAGGCTTCGTCCATGTAAATAGGAAGCCACCAATGGCTTAGTTCCAACAAGCAACTAAATAAGTTTGAAAAGCACTGACAGCTTCATTCAAATAAATGAGAAGACATTGACGGCTTCGTTTTAATGAACAACAAAACATCTAAATAGGTTTGGAAGCTTCTTCCACGTAAATGGATTTCTCTATGAATATTTATTTTTATTCTCTAAGAATGTTATGGAAACTGTAAAATAAGACTTCTAAGAACTAACCTCTTTCTTCCAGTTGGTTTTGTAGAGTACGAGCAGAAGCATAAGGGTCTGCAAAGCCGTTCCTGCTATCATTCCACTCCAAATTCCCTGCAATAAATAACAAAACCTCTAAATCCAAGATGCATAAGCTATAGCCGGCTGATTAAGACAAAGCTAGTAGTAGAGGTTTTCGTCTCTACGAGCGTGCGATCAGACTATCTATACATCCATCCATTATTTTCGTCCGAAAAGAAAAAGAAAAGAAAAAATTGCAGCTATAGATCAAGTATTTATAACTAGCAGAAGCAAAGTTTCTGTACCGCTACTCCCAAATTTGCTGTATATCCAAGCAGGAAACCGAGTGGTATCCCAAAAATATAATAACAACCAATGTTGATGTATGCCACCAACGCTTGCCAGCCCCCACCAACCGCAACACCTGTGAGAAATATTGTGCAAAAATAATCAAAGACCTGAAAATGATTCGTTAACTAATTGATCAATTTTGTAGCCAAATCCGGTTTGGACCTGATATTACTGGCTGAACGCTGTTAAGAACCATGGTTATGGAAAGAAGGAATGCAAGTTTAGAGACACTCTCTTGCATGATTTTGCTACTTGTGAAAAAGATAGCAATGTAATCCTTGGCAAACAGCACAACCACCATAAAAACTAGCCCAATAACGAGAGATTGAAATACTGTCACGTAAACTGAGTATTTTGTAGCTACTGCATGTCCTAACCCAAGCTCGTTCGATACTCGAACGCTGAAAGGTTAAAGAAAAGTAAGAGATCAAACGTACAGAGATTATATGGTACAATCCAAAACCAAAAGGTTTAAACTGTTGGATGATGTTATATAATAATTTCTTAAACAACTTGGATCCACTAAACATTCATTCCAAACAGAGTACGAGTCCTTGAGTTTACCTTATAGCAGCATTGATTCCAATGAACAACACATTTTCCCAATTATTCATAAGCATGCTGAAATTCACAAAAGAAATTAATGAGTACATTTTTTTAAAGAATTTGTTAATTATAATCATAATTTTAAATAACAATCGTTATATACATGTTCATTACCGTTGTATGCCGTTATAAAAAGTATGATAGTGTTTCACACAAATGACAAAATTATGTACTGTTATCGTTAAATAATACTGTTATTTGATAAATTAATAACTATCATTATTTAAAAAAATTGATTTTTTATATTTTATTATATATTGTTTGTGTAATATTAAACTATTATAAGTATTATTATTATTATTTTTTGTAATAAATTCAACCACTATCGTATAGTATTAAATTATTAGAGATATTGTTGTTATCTTTAATTATTATAATTGTTAAAAATTTATAAATTAGAATAAATTATTATATAATTAGTATTATGTTAATACATTTACAATATTGATTATCGTGATTGCTATTTATTATCGCAACAAGTTGCAGTTTACAATAACGATCATGAATGTTTTTACAAACGTGTGTACGGTTTATGATTATAATTATAATGACCATAAACTCACCAGATAGAGAGGGAATCAACAGCCACCACTGAATTATCAAGATGCCCAGTAAGAATAACAATGCTTGTCATATACCAGACTTCTAGGCAAAGCATTACAGCAGATGCAAGTGAGAGTCTGACAAAGGCCCACATGTCGCTAAAAGCAGACCAGGAAAATCCATGCCACCCTTCTTTGCACCAACGAAAGACATAAACAACTTGAGCCACAGAAATGATCCAGCCAGAAACGTTAGTGACAACAGCTGCACCAGCGAGACCCCAACCAAACTGAATGATGAAAAGCCAAAGCAAGAAAACGTGTATAACTAGAGCTGCAAACGAAATCCAGGCAAGTACACCAACCTTGCCTTGAGCCTGAAGGAACTTTTGGGTAGGGAAATTGATAGCAAATGAAAACATTTGTGGGAGTACTGAGACAGAGAATTCTCCAGAAAGTTTTGCAATACTATCTTCCTGGCCTAGAAGTTTCAGGATTGGAGTAGCAAAAATGTAAATTGGTGACAGGATTACACCAGTGACTGTTAAGATGATCCATGATCTTTGCAAGTATATACCGAGCATGTGAACTTGGCCTGCACCAAAAGCTTGACCACAAAGAGTCTCCACTGCACTCCCCATTCCCAGCTGCATTTAGTTGCATAGGCAAAAAAAAAAAAGTAATTAAACTTTGAATTTCTGAAACTAAACGATAAAGAATCGAAGAAACTAACAAATAGTTTACGTACCAAGAAGCCATAGCTGAAGGTGCCAATGACAGTGAGTGAAATGGAAACGGCAGAAAGCTCAAGGTCTCCAAGATGGCCAACAAACATGGCGATAGAAGAGATTATGCCAAACTGACAAAGTAAAGTGATAATCACTGGACCTGCTAACTCCCACATCTTGACAGTCTCCTCCCAAAACACAGATTTTATGTCTTTTAAGCTCCGCACTGGCAAGTAATCGCCGTCTTCTTTTTTGAATTCGTTAAGCAGCGGAGCCTCCATGATAGGACTTTGGTCAGTTTTGAAAACACAGTTAGTGTATCTGCTTACCGCTTTACAGAAATACTAATCTTATCTTTAGTTATTAAAGAGTTACTATTTTTTTTTTTTATCTTTTTTTGAACAAATATTCAACAACTAACCTATGGTCCACATATTTAATTATTAAAAAAAACTATCTCCTCGTTCTCTTAATTTTATTTTTTTATTTGCTTCGTAAAGTATTATCACATGTTGTATTGATTTATTTATGATGTGCATATGTTCTTGTGTTACAATGTCAATATCCTCTTCTCTTGGGGCATGCGTCTAGCTATTTATATCACTTCCCAATTCAATAACTAATTGTATTTGTATTCCCATTGTATAACGTGAGGGTGGACGTCATTGCTGTCGTAAATAAACTCAAACAAACCTTGACTAATTAAAAATGATTTCATTTTGAGCAAAAGATATAGTTTGTTGAGATCAATTTGAGTGAAATGAAGCGATGAGCATTCACAAGTTATGTAATATAATTTGATACGATTTTAGAAGAGGTAGTGTTAAGAGGTTCTTGATTTCTGATTGAGACTGACACTACAAGAAAACTATAAAATAACAATGAAAAATTCATTATATTCCGTAGTTATTAATTTTTATCGATAGATTTACAACAAAAATTTTCACTAGTTAAAATGATCGCCGTTATTTTCTTTAGTAATGAAAATTGATTTCCATCATTGATCAATGACATCATATCCGTCATTAATATAAAGTATTTTTGTTGTTAAATTGAAATAAATATCCATCTTTTAAGTTTTGAATTTATCATAAAACTATCTTTATTCTCTTGTATTAAATGTCATCGCTAGTTATACTCGTTAAATTTTCTCATGAGGTGGAAGAAGTGGAACTGTTAGAAGCTATTGGTGTAGTTTTGCAAAAAGCTATGATATTATATGAAAAAATCATTTTAATCTAAAAAATTAATCTATTAAATGAAAATACTCCTCTAATCTTGTCCAACTAATTAATTAATGATATTACTTAACCTACAAAATTAGATTTTTTTCAATGTATTTCCTTCTCCTTGTCGAAAATCTCTTGCTTTCCAATCAAGGTGATAAATGAATTACGTATACAAATCAATATGTTAACTTGCTAGTAAAATATATGTCATATAAATTTTAAAACGAAAATTAGTCTCTTACTGGAAAAGTAAATGCCACATCTTTGTATGAGAATTTTATATAAAAATTTGTTTACATGACATCGCTTCCGAGTGCCGTGGTATCTGTCAGAGAGGGAACTAGCACTCCTCTTGACACACTCGTTGGAATTTTCATCCCTCTTAATGGAGATAGCTGGATACTGTTTCTGTCTCCAATATATGCAATATCTAAAATTAATTACAGCTTCTCACCTACCATATGACCATTGCCCCATGTGATTTTTTCTCCGGTTGGAGGGGAAAAAATGGTTAAATATTGTAAACAAGATGAATATTTTGTAGCATTCCCATATTAGATAGGATCTTCAAGTTTATCTTCTTATTCTATTACCAAAGATAGTCTTAAAAAAGTGAAGATAAAAGCTAGAATTGAAGTTTGCCTTATTAACAGATGAGGAATTATAAGCAAACAAATTCAGAGATTAAAGCCCATAATTAAATATTATTCAGTTTGGTTTTACAATCAGGAATATTCTTAGACTCCCTTTTGTAAATTGAGATTAAGTTCATCTCATATGTCAATCTAAAGTAAACTATTTAACCCAAGAGAGTTGATGCAGAATGAGCTTTAGTCTCTTAAATAAATGGTCTCGAATTATTTGTCTTATCTATTCAACATACTTGTGGAGGATTAGTCTGAATTTTAATTTGAACTTAGGACACCTTGGAGATCCAAAAAGTAAACTATTCATGCCAAAATTAAAGAAATTCATAAGAATTTTATTTCTTACAACCTGACCTGAGGTTCGATTCAAGTTTTATGTTTACACTTGTGGTGTGACAAGCTTTCCATTTTTCCATTTTATAGCAAAGTTATATGTTTAGACTAAATGGCATTGATTGAGAAGTAAACAAAGAATTTAGGGAAATTAGATGAAATCATTAAAGCTCCGAATTATTCTTGACTAGTAAACGCAGGGGAAGAGCTTGAGTTTTTTGTCGAAGGTAAATTGCAAGAAACTTTAAAGCTTGGGCATGCCATGGCCCGTAAATGCTATGATGTCAAGTTTTTTCAGCAGAAGAAACTTTGCGTTTTCTTCCAAGGTCAGCCATGCCTCAATCCCCATTACCATCTTTAGAGTCCAGAAGATACATAAACTGGATAAAATGCAGTCTGTCTCCTATTAGTTTTTTTCCAAACCAAATCATTTTCGTATAATGGAAATCCATGCATGTTGATAATTGAAACAAGATGAACCTCCTTATTGTTAGAGACATTATTCAGCTTCCTTACAGAATTTTTTGTCATCGAAAAACAACTCTTCGGCATTTGAAGCTTTTGCACAATCTGAGAAACCTCTTTCGGAAATGACCTACCAAGTCATGAAGTTGAAACTCCTTGCCATCATCTTTCGGAACAAATTCCTCGCCGACTGCCAAACTTTTAAAGTTCCCACAACAACTCTCGTTAACTATAGTTGTTTTATGTTGTAAGGAAGCAACAACACAGAAGGCCTGAATTGCCTTGTCTAACTTCAGACACACTGACGAGAATCTTCCATATAAGCGCTTCCACCACCTCAACCGCATTTGATTCACGTTTCAGTAACTCTGGATCATTGCAATTTACGTTACCGATAGCCTTCAGCTTTGATATTGCTGTGCCATATAACACCAAACTTCTCGTGACAGTTTCAGTTGAAAAGGATGGAAAGAAAAAAACTTCTATTGTTTATAAATATTTTCAGCTATTATTTAGACCAAATCAGCCCAAGTCTAGTAACACTAAATTATAATTATTATTTGATTATTTTTATCTATATTTATAGATAGTAGAGTATCTTCATATCAGTTTTCGTATCATTTGAGATTTAATCTATCACTTTCCGAGTTAAGCCAACGTCGAACATGCATAACCTTTATTCGATCACTAGATTGTTCTTTAGGTAAAACTAACGGAAGTCCGATACTTTTAAAAAATAATTATGATTAGTTATATCTGGATAATAAAAATTGAATCCTGGTCCAGATAAAACAAATCTATCACTTTATTATTAGAACATAAAAAAAAAAAAAAGTAGCCCTAGCAAGTGGTTTTGTAAATATTTATGCTAATTGATCTTTGCTAGCTGATTTTTTTTTTTTTTTTGAGATATACTAAACTTTATATCGTTGACTAACTATTCTTTGAGACAGTGAGAGTCAATTTTGATATATTTTATCCTGGTCTTAAAAATTAGACTGCAAGATAAATATAATGCCCTAACATTGTCACACCATAAAACACTAGGGCTGTCAATTTGCTGATCAAATTCCCTCATTAGAGATTGTGTAGCCAAATGATTTCAGAAGTCACCTTATAGTAACAACCCTATTCTACTTTCATCAGTGGATGATCTAGACATTACAGGTTGCTTCTTTGGTGACTAGGAAATCAAGCTCTTCCTCAAAAACACTACATACCCTCCCTGTACTTCGTCTATCATCTTCTATATATGTCGGCCCAATCCGCATCAGAAAATACTTGCCACTGTGTTTTCATCGAAAGAGAGACGAAAAGGCCTTGTGAAACTCTCTCTTTAATGTACCATATATAGAACCCATTAACAAGTTTGCCAATGAGCAGTAGTAGGATGATTAAAACTATATATATATATATATATATATATATATATATATAATTGTGCATGGAATGCTAGCTCGAACCTAAGTTTTCAGTTCACCGCTACACCCACACCTTGAGCAACGTGATTTAGTGGGCAAGATTATCTAAAATATTTATATAAGTTTTTAATGGCATTGAATTCTACAAAGCTAGCTGTCCAACTCCAAAGCAGCATGAAATTTGGAACCGGGAAAGGAAGTTTAAACACATCATCACTTAACCTAGTCTTTCGTGACATTAGAAAAAGAATTGTTTAGTGTTATTATTATATTAAGAATGACTTAATTAAGAATACTAACAAATCATTGATCCACTGGTAAATAAGTTTGTTCGTAAACAATTTTTTTATTAATATGTAAAATATAAATTCTAAAATTGTATTAGTTGAGAAAAATTAAATCTTATCGTTTCTATCCTGAATATGATTAATCTTATTTGAGATATATGATGAGAATATCTGGAAAAGAAAAAAGAATGACTTAAGAATAAAGAAAAGGAAAAACAAAATCTTGGTAGCTAGCTGGTTCTCCTTTAAACTAGTTTAAATCATTTGATTTCTTTGTCTTATCCACCAGGAGGATCTAATTGACCACTAAACTAAACTAACCAATTGTTTGCTTTTATATATATATTACTAAAATCAAAACCCAAGACAAAAAGGCATGCGATCATGAGCAAGGCAACAAGAACATTAATGAATCATGATTAAAAAATTTCACCATTTTTTTTCTTACACGTCTTGTAAGAAGTAAATTTTATTTCTAACAACAACCATAGGATTGACTTATTAGGTTGTCGCATTAACAAACAATTTTGTGGCCCTATTAGGACCAACAAAATCATCATGATCTTCTCGATTGAATTCATGTTTTCTACAATTTTTTTTTGTCGACTTTTTTATGGCATCTAATTAACTTTCGTATTTCGAGAGTAGGTTTTCGGGAAATGTTATTCCCAGTTATTTACTCTACCATATCTCCCTCAATTGCAGGATGCTGTCCTCGATCTAGTTGCCATAAAATTTATCTCATAAACGAATCTAGTTAAGATTAATTATTTATGATTTTTTTTTTATGTTGACAGAAGAATTAAATAATTAATTGACAGAAGAAAAACATATATAGATTGACAACAAAAATTCAATTTTCACAGTATTGCCTAATCTACAGAAGGTAGTTGAACATTTTGGTACATGATTTTCTATTTCGAGTTTTGCTCGATGATTTTTTTTTCATTAAGTATACGAAGATAAATGGATAATTAAATAATTTTTTGTTTTTTTTTAGATTATAAAAAGAATTGTTCGGACTTGAAATCTCTTGAAGAAGGGAAAAAAAATACTAATTAATTCCAATTGAGCACAATATGTTATCAGTAATTTTTTTTGTTTTTTTTCAAACTAGTTGATTCAACAAAACTGACGATGTATTGGGCAGAGTGATACTTCAAAATTTGAATGATTATATTCATAAAAAGAAAATCGAAAATTTTATAATTTTCTTCAACAGAGGGTCTGCCACGATTGTGTTTATCGAAAGAAAATTCGATTCTTCAATGCAATAAATTAATCTTGACTACTTGGTTCCATATGGCAATGGCAAACAAGATTATCTAGTCATATCTGCATGAGAGTCGTTCATTCTTACAACGTTCTTAGTTTCCAAAGAGTAATATTTTAATAATTCTTATATAATTTCTCCAATATATATATACTTACGAAAATTTTAGAGTACTCCAACAAACTTTCAATAGTTATTAGTGAATATCTAGAATTAAAAAAAAAAATAATAATAATTATTGTTACCAATATAAATTTCTCTCTGTTTTTTCAGAAGTTGAAAAAATGACGAGAATAAATTACCAGAAATTTACATGGAGCGAGAGATATATACCTGCAAAACTAAAGAAAAGCATTAAATTGCATGGAAAAGGACGTAATTAAATAAATTGAAAGTTTGTAAAGAAAGCGACCTAAATAAGATCTAAGACATACTTGTGTTTAGAAAATAATATGAATCATAAAGTCTTACTTATTAATTTAATTAAATTTTTGAGTTGATATATATATATATATATATATATATATATATATATATATATATATATATGTAGTTTTTTGACAGAACTATGCTAATGACTAAAAGCTCTAGCAATTTTTTTTTTGGTAAATTTGAGGAGTTGTGAAGGCGATAATAATCTTATAATTTAACTAAGTCATTATTATTCTTGAGAAATTGTGAAGGCGATGATCTCAGGGTCTTGTTGAAAAAGAATCATGTCTTTTTCCTCTATAGTTATCCATGCTTCAACACCACCATCTTTGGTGTCCAGCAAATTCACCACTGGTACTGGCTTATGCGTATTACTCACCCAACTAGGTTTCCCCCAACCAAAATCCACTTCATAAATTGGGAAACCACACCAGCTAGAGAACGTATAGAGATCTATTTCACCTCTAATGGCTTCCTCCTTCCCCTCTCTGAAACTGCTAGATGCACACGACAACAAATCGTCATAGTTTGTTGCTTTTCTGCAATCCATGACAGCTCTGCTGATTGCTTGCCTTATCAGGCTTACCAGATCATGCAACCCCATTTTGCTCTCATTCGGCACGAATCGAGCTGTCGCAAGCCTCAACATGTTTCCAAAGTAATTTGGTGGTACTGGTAATGTTATCTGTCTTCTCATTTCCACTGGATGGATCAATGCAGATGGCCTCAGGTATCCACGTTTAGCTTCAGCCACCTTAATGAGAGCCTTCCATATAATTGCAGTGACTATGTCGACTCGCGAAGGTTGGCCTTCCCTTCCTCCCAAATCATCGTCTCTCGATCTGGCAATCACTTTCAGGCTGGCTATTGTTGATCTACTAAATGTAAAAGTTCTTGTCATGACCTTTACTCCACTTTTAATCGGACGTGCGTTCCGGATTTGAGCTGTCTCTCTTGCCGGGAACAGGTATGGCAGATGAAAACTTGGGCGGAGCAGTTCATCAGTACCAACTCGACATGTTGTTGCCCATCCATTAACAAATGACATTGACGTCACAAAATCAGATATCTTGTGCAAAATGCGCACTCCGACAGCCAGTCCACCGCACTCGAAAGTGCTTATCTGAACAGCTGCTAAAGGACTCGTCGGCGATGCAACAGGATAAGGAAGAAACCGATTCAACTGCTCAGGCTGCAACTCCCCATTTAAAATTTGAGAGAGTCGTCCACTTACTTCAGCTTCCAAATATTCTACCCCTTGGTCATTGCAATCAATCAACAGGTTTTCTTCAACATATCTGCCTGCCACTGGATAGTAGAGGGTTAAGATTTCGGACAACGATTTCTCCAACTGCTTTCTTCTTTCAGAAGGTTTGGCTCCTTTAATGTTCTCGTCAGCCGAGTAAAAAAATGTGAATCCTGAATAAACTGAAGGAAGAAGCTGATCCAATGCCGATATTTTCAAGCTTCTGAGGTGAGGTGGAGTTGAAGAAGATGGACTTATGAATTTCCTGGCAATAATTTCAACCCTCATATTTTCAAGTTGTGCCTGGTTTTGGAAAATAGACAGACCTTCTCTTGGCTACCCTTTAGATCAGTTTCATAAATATTATAGTAGTTTCATCTAGGACAATGTTTAACTTGATATTTGAACCTAAATAGATTAAAATGAAGTTATCTGTTGGTTCAGTTAAATTTTATACCTTTAAAGGAATTAAATTAGGAGTTTCCTTCGGCTATTAATTACTTTTAATGTTACATTATATCCCTCCTTAAAGGTGGTGATTTTTGGGAGTAAATTATAAATTAGTTTCTCTAGTTCAAAAAAGGAATTAATCAATCCCTCTCATTTTAAAAACTAATTATTTAGTCCTTATATTTTTAAATTTTCTTATAACTCAATCCTTTTTTGCTATTTTTAATTTTTTTTTTTTTAAGAAATGGAAAAAGAAAAAAAAATAGTAAAAAAAATAATAGAAAGATTGCTGAAAAAAATGAAATTTTTTTAAATAAAATAATGCCATTAGATTAAGCATGGTTAACACTTATCAAAAGACTAAATAATTAATTTTTGAAACAAGAGAGACTAAATAATTCATCTCTCAAAAATAGAGGGACTAATTTATGATTACTCCTTTTTTTAAAAAAAAAAATCTTTTTGGGTGAAGGGAGCTTTATTAGCCTTAACCATTGACCATTACCATTGAATTTGATACTCGAAAGTATTAGATTCTCAATCCAAAGGACAGAAATCATAATATCACCCAAAGTGGCTTCCATGAGAGTGCTTAGGAAATGCCAGATTCTTGAGAATCATTACATTCTTTTGCAAACCAAACAAAAGAATTCTTAGAATTCCATATCTGAATCCCTCAAAATCCTACTCTTTCATATCAGATCCCATGAAAACTTGGAAAAACAAGCAAAACATCCCACAGATAGGAAAAAATAGTCAAACAAAATATGAATAAAGTAATAATATTAAATTAAACGTGATCAACACCGACGGAAACAAAAAAGACTAATTAATTTATTTCTCGAAAATAGAGGAACTAACTTATATTCTACTTCAAACAAAAAATTTGGATGAAGGGAGCTGTATTAACATTAACCATTGACTTGTTACCAATTGAATTTGATAACATCCCATAGGTGGGAAAAATAGTCAAAGAAAACTACGAATAAATTAAAATAAAATGGGAAAGGGAGTATATACTTGTACCTAAAATAGTAGGTTTTGTTCATCAAGGATATTTGATCACGTCAGAAGTGCATACCACACATCATGCAAAATATAAACAAGACAACAGTATCTTTGGCTTAAGCTTTTATGCAGATTTTGTTATATTGACAGAAAGTTTGAACAAGTTGATGCCTCCCGATCTGTATCACGGATATATAGTTTCTACACAGTTAATATAAGATCAAGTATTTCAACCAGAGATCTCATTATTAGTAGATGTGGTTTCCCAAGAAAGTTTTTCACCTAATTCATCACAAACCACATAAACAAAAAAAGCGATGCTTGCCTGCATAACTACATCCATAGTTATCCCTCGATCGAAATTTTGCAATGTTTTATGCAAGTTGATGGATGAGTGAATGCATGGGTTACAGACACCTAGCAGATATACAAGAGCTCACAGTTGGTTGCAATAAGGAGCAGATGCAAATTTGATTTGATGAATATAATTTTTTCATCCATCTGATACAGTTACAACTTACAACACTACTACAATAGCCTAATCTGGAGAGAAACAAGAGGGGATTCCATCCATCTATTTGAAAGGTCCATGTCTTATCAAAGACATGCATCACTTTAAAAGAAAATTTATTAGTTTGCTATACAAATCAAGACTAACTTTCAAAGGAAATTTTCGCCTTCAAAAACTTCCGTAACTTACTGTAGCAGCTACATCAACATTTGCACTAAAACACAATACAACCAGCGAACTAGATTCTCTCACTAGTATCCTTCCCCCTATCACTGACCTCACATGGATTACAAATTAGAAAATAGAACAATATCCTACAGCTACATTTGTAATTGCTATGTCAGATTCTGCTATCTATGAAGAGGAAAAACAGAGAAAATGACAAGATTGTACAACTAACTGAGTTGGAGAAATAATAGTTAAGTACTTACACTAAATGCAGAGACTATCTATGCTGCATAAGCTCCTGCTCGATAGACTCAAATTCTTTTAGATTTTCTACTACATTCTTAACTTTCTTAGAAAGCTTCTCACTGTGATCTTCAACGACTTTCATAAATGCAGTTAGCTGTTCTTGATAAGTGGCACATAACCGCTTCTTATTTCTCAACTCTGCAGTTAATTCTTGAATTTTCTTGTCTTTTTCATCCTACAAAGTAAATATGAAAAACAACTTAGATCACATCTGATATGCAGAAATTATCCTTGCACCTCCTCAATGCATGAGAAATCTTCCTTCCAAGCACATATTTACTACATCCCAGTTCATTAGTCTGGTATCTTGAATAGCATGTGATGCATTGATTTTTTACACAGGCCAAATAAGAACAGAAAAGGTAAAAGATTTATTCAAGGAATTAAAATGTTTTCTTCAAAGCTTATTTAATTAGCAGATAGAATAAGGATACAGAATCACATATCAAAGGCATATAGAGATGGTAAAGCAAGGAAGCAGCATGGCATAATTAAACAATAGAGAAAACTCACCATTGTTTGACGAGCTTCACGTGGAGCTACTACGAGTGGATGATTATGGTCCCTTACAAATTTTGTTATCACCCATCTTCCAGACTTATCAATCTTAACATGAATCATCGCCTTACAACCTTCTCTAGTGCTTGGCCGTGGCTTTCGAACATTTCCAAATTTGCCACGAATGCTTACGCAATAACCCTCTTTATTACACCCAAGTCGCCGAGCAAGAATCCTCCCATCTCTTTCAGAACGACGACAAGACATTACTCGCATTACAAACCCTAACCGCCGAGCATATTCATCATAGAATACCTTTGCAGCATCTTCTGATTCAAACTCCATGCCCTCGTGTGGTTCTACAATCACATCACCACCTTCATGTTCCACCAATTCACCAACATTTTCAACCAATTCTTTTCCAATAGAGCTCTCGACTATATCAATTCCCTCATCTATATCCACTGCCGTACAACAAAACCATTTACTGTTATCTTTAAAACCGATTTAAAACACTACTCATCTATAAAAGCTCAAAAGCTGACAAGAACAAACCAAAAATAGCTAACTCACTCTTCTCTATAGCAGCTAAAACCAAGAAAAGAATAAACTAAATTGCCCACCAAACAAAACCCAACTTGTATTTCATGAACACAATTCATCACCAAACAGAACAAGAGACAACATTAACAACAACTGTTTCATTTCTTCTAGTTTTCTCTCTCACTGACTTTCTTCTCATTTCTCAGAAACCAATCACCATATGTTAAAACAACATCAAGAAACCACAAAATTCAATCTTTATCTTCTCCAACCAAAACCCACAAACAAAATGAAAAAAGATGGCAACTTTATAGCGTTAAACAATAAAAGTGAACTACACTTTGCATTAAAAATCCATAGTTTTTGTATGATTCAATAAAGGAAGGGCAAAAAAAAAAAAAAAAAAGACCCAGATAGAGAAAGATTGTAACTTACTTGATGCAGATAAGATCAGAGAGACCCAGAATTGAGAGAGGGTATGAAAGGTAATTTTGAAGAGTTTAGGGAGGTATTTTTGGGTTTTGGTGAGTAGGGATAAGATGGATCAGAGTCTAGTAAGAGAAGATCGTGAAACTCAAGTGTTTTGATGCCACCAGACAACATAAATAGATCTGACGACATGTCATTCAAAGAAAAAGACATTCTTAAAAACCAAAAAGTTTAAGTTTTTTTTTTTTTATAAAAAAAAACATTAAAAAACTTGAACATTAATATCATCTTCCTAACAAAAAAGGCAACAGACAGTAACAACAACAAAACCCCAGCATAAAATCAAGTAAGTTTATCTCTATTTAAACTTTTCTGTTTGTTTCCTGAGAAAATTAAGAAAAGAAAGTTTTATCTCTCTTGTTTAGCATATAAAGTTTTGAACTATATCTGTATTGAGCTCTATTTAAGTGCTAAGCCCAGCAAACTAGAGATTCAATTTGTGATTTTTTTTTTTTTTTGCCTTTAAGCTTTTCTGTCTGAATAGAACTTAAAGTTGTGAACTTTATGCTGTTGTTGAAAATTTATTCTATTTTTCCTGTGAACCCAATAGTGAAGATGTAAGTTTCTATTGTTTTGTTCTCTTTCTGGTTTCAGTGTCATCAATTTGGATGGTGAAAGTTCATTCCTTTGTTTTTTATTGCATTTCACATTGATAGAGCAATATCAGTAGTTTATATCACTATGGGAAGTAGGCCTTTGGTTGATCTTTTAGGCCATGTTGAGGGTTTCATTTGTTGCCGTAATCTGAAAGTTATAGGGAGATGAAATTATGAAGTACGGTGCAAACTGAGTCTTGTGTATGTCAAGTGCAAGTGCTAGATTTTGAGTATTGAAATTTGCCAATTCAGTAAAGGATTTAACTAAGGATAGCTACAGCTGTGTGCAGTTGTGGATCCTAGTCACGTGTGCGAATTATGCATGCATGTGATTCAGTGGCGCGCTGTGCATGATTTGCTGGATGGCTTGAATCGTAGGCTGCATGAGCATAGCCCTGGATGTTCTAAAGGATGGTTAGGACTTTCGTGAAGATTTTTAATACTTGCGATTAACGTTTATATGCTTGGAAAAATGTGTTCTTCAGTTCATGTAATTGTGAATATCGATGTATGGTATGCACGTCTTGAGACTGCTTGCCAGTTTACTGCCTTGCTATCACTTTTATGCGGTTATGATCGTTTTCAGCATATAGGTTTTCCTCTTATGATCTCAAACATAAATTGCAACTGTGATATTGACTTGCAGTGGAGACGGACACCCTCATAGAAGACAAAATTGTGGTAACAGAAAGTACTGTGGGAGCTAAAACAGGTGTTTGTGAAGTGGATACAAAGTGCCAAGAACTGTATGAGGGTATGATATTTGAATCAGAAAATGCTGCCAGAATTTTCTATTACGAATATGCTAGACGGCAAGGATTTCTTACGCGTATTGTATCATCCTGTAAGTCTGAGCGTGATGGAACAATTATATCTCGTCGACTTGCTTGTAACATAGAAGGGTTCAATCTCAACAGTCAAAAGACAGGGCGAGTTAAAATCAGAAAAAGAGAAAGCAAACGGGAGGGTTGTATGGCAATGTTACTGGTGAAGAGAGAGAAGCTAGGGAAATGGGTGGTGACAAAGTTTGTGAGGGAGCATAATCATCCACTATTAATTTCATCAGAAAAGGGTCAGTCAACATCGGTAAGCTCCTTCAATTTGGTTAATGCAGTGTCATCTCTCTTCCTTGCATGCCTTGTGATGCACATACCTTGACGACTCATTTAAATATTTTTGTACTTGTGGTGTGAAGAATTGTCGATTAGAAATTGGCTGCGTGTGTTTGTCTTGGAACCTTGAAGCGTTGCCGGGTAGAAGCTACTTACAAATTTGTGATTGCAAACTAAGAATCCAATAAATTAAAGACACATGAGAATCTGGGACTTTGGATAATTGTTACCAGTTACTACTGATAATTGATGAACATTTCAATACTTTTTAAATCACCTCTGGTGATTTGCATGTTTATTTGACTCTAAAATTGCCTTAAGGAGCTAAGTTCTGATAACTAGCATCCAAACATGAATAGATTAGGGGATCCCAAAAACAGAGGATTTAATGTTTTGACCATTTTGTACGATTACTTCGGTTTGGCTTAATGATAAAGCTTACCATAAAAAGTTTTGCACTTTCATGCAAGTTTATTGTGAGAAGATTTGAACATCAAGACCAGGAAGATGCTCCCTGATGTTAAGTGCTGATACATTGTTTATAAGAGTTATGCTAAGCTGGAAATTCATTTATATACCTCCCATTTATTCTTATAGGCGACAGAACCTGCTTATCTGTTTGCTGTTTTATTGATCCATTGTCTTTCTCAACATTAGTTGTTCATGGATGGATCATTGTCAGTAGTAATTATCCAAGTTCTAAACCAATTTTTGTTCTCTTAGGATGAGAAAGATAGGAGAATCCGAGAGCTATCTTCCAAGTTGCATCATACGAACCAACAGTTAGAAGCATGTCGAGAACAGCTGCGAACATTCATGACCTACATTGAGGAACACACGGTGTGCGTGTCAAGAACAGTCGAAGGTGTTGTTCAAAACGTTAGAGAAGTTGAATCTGAAACCAGAAGCTGCTCATAGGTTACTCATAGGACCTGGCGTTATGTTGTAGATGTCTTTACAAATTTCTAATCTTGTTAGTAGGTGAAGGTTCATCAAAATTCCTCCCAACTGTATGATTTAGTTACTAATTCTTTCAAGGCCTCGTAATTATCTGCTCGACCTAACCTTAATTTTTGTAAATAAACCAATTTAAATGTGTCTAAAGTTTGGGTGCATTGATCAAGCAGCAAAAGCCATATGATATGACTGAAGAGTAAGCAAGCTTTATTTACAACTGTGAATGTAGTTCCTAGCCAAGACAATCTGCAGCCAAATAAATGGTAAATCCAATTAGCTAGTACTAACAGAATCCAGTTTCTAAATTCTGACACAGCTCTTTTCAACAGACCTCAAACAAAGAAAGAGAACATGTAAATTTCAAACAAAGAACAAAGAATCTTTTTAACAGACCTCTCAAGCAAAGAAAGATGACATAAACATTTCTTGAAGTAGTCTGTAGTCCTCAGCATGGATGACGGTGGAAGGTAAATACTGATGGCATTAGTTCCCTTGCAAATCCTGGCATGATGAAAACTGGATTGGAGGATTTTCATGGAACCTCTGGCCATATATAAGCTAGGGTTTTATGATCAATGCACGTTCACCAGACAGCAATTCGATAAGATCAGGTTGCGTGCAAGATGATTCATTCACGAAAGGATGAGCTAAAAGCTCGGCAGCAGTTGGACGGTCTTTTGGATCTGGCTGCAGGCATTTATTGATGAAGTCCTTTAAATGATGTGAGAGAGAATCGGGAATAATAGGTCCTTTGCCCTTTCTAATTGCAAGTTCCAAGCCCACAGCATTCTTGGCGTTATATTGTGGATACTTTCGGGTCACCATTTCCACCACAGGGCATCCAATGCTCCATGTATCAGCTCGAAAATCATACCCAGCACTTTTAGGATTAGCGACTTCCTGAGCCATCCATAATGTGCTTCTCGAGCCAGGCTTCAAAGGATTAGCATCTTCTATAAATCTAGACAAACCAAAATCAGCAAGTCTTATCTTTCCGAACTCATTCACCAATATGTTTGCACATTTAAGATCTCTATAAATCACATTACAGCTATGAAGATACTTCAGACCTAGCAATATCTGTCGAGTGTCTTGAGAAACTTGGTGTTCCTTGAAAGGACAACTCTTGTAAGCTTCTTCAACGGTGCCATGAATTACAAGCTCTAGAAAAATATAAAGCTTTTCTTCATCCTTCTCTGTTCCATAATACTGAATTATGTTTTCATGATCCAAATTTGTCAATCAGCAAAGTCGTTTCTTATCATTAACTGAAACTTCTTTCACAGCAAAAAAACGTCCATCTTGATTAAATCCTTTGTATACTGATGCGAATGAACCACGTCCAATAAGGTCACCCTTTTCCCAACTTGTGATTTTAGGTCTCCGTCTACTAATCTGCCTTATATCCTATCCAGCTAACAAACTAAATACGGATTCTCTGATGAGCAAGAAAGTGGAGAAGATAAACACCATTGAAACTATAAAAATAAAATAAAAAGCCAACCCTATACTTCCAATCGTAACCAATTCTAATTATCCCAAAAACACTCATTTATCCGATCTTCACAAATTTACCACTTTATTATTATTATTATTTTTTTTTTGTGACTGATAATAGAATTAGCTTTCTTTCGTGTCTTACATTACTTTATTAATAATAGAATTAGCAAATATATATATATATATTTGCTAACAAATTCAATGAAGTTAACCTTTTAAGTTGATTTTTTTTTAAGAAATTTTTGTTATATTTATACTACACTTTTATGTTATTACTTAACTGATGTAAAATCAGGTTTTTGTTTTACGATATTTTAGAAAAATAAATTAAATGAAATTCTTTAGGTAAATTAAAGTTTAGTATCAAATAATATTATACCAAATTAAATCAATTCATAGTTTTTTTCAATAATAAGTAGGAATGACTTTTAACCGATAATTTTTTTTTATGAAGGCTAATTATTGCTTGATTTTTTTAATCATAAAATACAGCATGGCATTAGTTGAATCACTGTATACAACATTTATTAATAACTATAAAAGCATTAACTTCTTAAACACTTTTAATTAACTATTATAACTTTAATACAATACTAACATTACAATATACTATTAATAGAACTAATAAATAAATTTAACTCCACCTCTAATTAAGATAAGGACCAATGTAAAAAAAATTATTAATTCCTGAAAAATAGTCTATTTTTTATAATAAATCGTAAAATATAGTTTAATCTTGTTTTCTCACTATTTTCTTAGTTATGCACAACATAAAATGTTAATTAATCACATAAAATAAGCTATTTAAATCACTCATAATTAGTACTATAATGCTATTCTTTTCCTATCAAGCTATAGAAAGGCTTAAAACCAAGCCAATAAGTGACATAAAATATTAAACTAAAAAATAATTAAATTACATCAAAATTCAACAAATTATTAAGTTTAATTCTTAGTTCATTTTTTTATAATTTATTTTTTATTTTCTTATATATATATATATATATATATATATACTATTTTGGACAAGCAACGATAATATTAAAAAAGGCAATAGTTACTAAAAAAATAATTTATAAATTTTTTATTCATGTATATTTAATTTAAATTCATATCAGATACACTTTTAAAGTACTATTTAAAATATAGATTCATAATACTATAATGCTAACTGAATTTTTTTTAATAATATATATAATTTGAAATATAATTCAACTTATGTCCCTAATATTTACTTAAGTTCAGTTAAAAAAATTATTTTATGTGGTTCCAAAATGAGTGAAATTTTTTAGTAATTATTATTTTTAATAATTATATATATTTAAAATTTGAAATATAATTCAACTTATGTTATTAATATTTGCTTAAGTTCATTAAAAAATTATTTTATATTGTTCAATAATATTAATAATATAATTATAATTATCAAAATTTATTTAAATTATTTGAAAATCAAACATATTTATTTAATAAAATTTTAAATTTATTCATTTATAAATAAATTTAAACAATCTATTAAAAAATATAAAAAATATTATTAATTAGTTAAATAATACAAATAAAGAATTTCACTATGGCTACGACTCAGGCCCAAATGGCATAAAGTGGTGTGATATCTATTGGAAAGTAGAGCAGATTTTGCCTAATATCATTGTTTGCATGAATATGAATGATAGTAATTACGCTCCAGATTTATATGCAGAATAAATATTTATGGAGAAATTATTAGAGGGTTCTGGAATTCCACGTCAGATTAAGACACTTTCGATTCATTATGTGCCACATGTTAATACTGAATAAATAAAAGAAACCCTTCATCTTTCTCCTTCCTCCGCCGTCTCTCTCTCTCTCCGGCCGCCCAATTGAATCCGAATCAATAAAAGACAAAGCCACGTCATATGGATGATAGTTCTGACATGAAAATGAAGATGTACACAATGCTCCAAAGCGTGGTGAAAATAGAGAACGGTATTTGATTCAAATTTTCTTGTCCGTAATTGTCAATGTGATTAATTTTATCCCACTTTATCGGTGCACATGCATAGAAGATGTTAATGGGTCGTGAAACGGAAGAAAAAATTCAGAGTAGCTTTCAGTTCTTTTTTTTTTTCAATTATTTTATTTTTCTGGAATGCAAACTTCTACCATGTATCATGAAGCGATACACTTTCGATTAATTTTCTTGTCCTTTCGAGGTAATTGATACAAACCAATTTGAGGTAATGAATATGCTTTTAGATAAATCAAAGGTTCGTCCTCGTCGGGAGGGATCAAAAGAGAGAGATAGAATCAAAATGTTGCCTGGACAGCCCCATGTCAAGTTTTCACAATATGGTGGTTATGTTACTGCTAATGAATCTGCTGGTACGGCATTCTATTACTATTTTGCTGAAGCTGATCGGCATTCAAAGCAGTCCTTGCCTCTTCTGCTTTGGCTAAACGGAGGTTTGTTAATCTTTACCCTACTTGCTACCTGTACTTATCAAAGCCTTTTTTTTAATTTCTACCTGTACTTATCATCTTCAAAACCCTTCGAATTCCTTACAGATCCATAAATCTTTAAGCATTCAATGGGGCTGGATCCACATTGTTTCTTCTTCTCTTTTTTATGTTTATAATTTTTAACTAATTATATTTTTAGTTTAAAGTTTATAAAAATTATCTTCAATTTTTTTTCTTTTTATGCATTTTTTGTTAATTTTTTTTAAATAAATCATCAATTAAATTATAAAATTCATGTTTTTATTTCCTTATTCTTTGTACAATAAAATTTTATCAGAATAAATTTTATAGTTATTTTTATTACACTTCATTAACTTCAATATATTTTTTATAAATTAATTTTTTTTAAATACTTTGCAATATATGCTTCACATTTTAATCTATTGAATAGGAACATGATGATTAAAAAATTGAAGTAATTGGTTTTATTAAAAATTATCTATGAATCTATACGCATTAAACTAATAATTTGCATTTATTTTTTTCAAATATTCTAATATTAATTTCTTTAAACACAATCAATTAAATCATCAATTAAATAATATAATTCACGTGTTTTATGTTCTTTTTTTCCGTACAACAAAATTTTATTGGAATAAATTTTGTAGTTATTTTTATTGCATTTCATTAACTTTAATATATTTTTTATAAATTATTTTTTAAAAAGCTTTGTGACTTATACTGTATACTTTGACCTATTAAATATGGTTATGATGTATAAAAAAAATTAATATCATTGGTTTTATTAGATATTATTTGTGCATGTATATACATAACACTAATAGTTTGCATTTAATTTTTTTCAAGTGTTCTAAAATTAATTTCTTTAAAATAATTTTTTTAAAAAACCATCTAATGATTCAGGTGCATCTTTTTTGTACTAATATTATTTATTATTTACAAATAAATGTATATTTTTAAAAAAACATAAAAAAAAATTCATTTGTTATTTTTTATACAAGTTTTTGTATTGATTGTTATTTTTTTTATTCGATGCAATCGTATAAAAATAAATATTAAGATGTTTTCTTTTTAGTTTTCAATTTATATTATCATAGGTTTTTATTTAAGAATTGATAAATAACGAAGAACAGATCATGTTTTTTAACAACAAATAACATTAAAGATATTAAAAAGAAAAAAATACAAAAATTTTATTAAAAATATAAAATTAGATGATTTTGTTTTTTTAATTTAATATATTTTAATACATTCATGGCATGCTGTATGCTATCAAACTGTAATAATTTTTTAAATTTATTTTATCAGTTTTATCGAATCTACAGTGTAACGCGGATAAAGATTTTAATATTTACAAATTAAAAAAATGCTGTAACAATAAAAATAAAAAACAATAGGAAGGTTTCCAAGCAGTTCTTTCCTAAGACGACATGTCATATGCATTTTCTAAAAATTAGACAACGAGTTGCTTCCTAGAAGTGCTGCCTTCTTGTCAATTATACAACACGTCGTTTTGTGAAATTGTACTTTCCTCTTCATTTCCTTCGGTCATCTTCTTGAGTTCTTCCGCCATAGCTTCAAACTTCTGAATGAGTCCCAGAGAAGATAGAGTGAGAGAGAGAAGAGGCAATGAGCTGAGAAAATCTTTGGCTTGGAGGGTTTTGAGTTTGTATTCTTTGATAAAAATCAAAGATTAGTGTTCTTCACTCTATCTCTCTTTCACATACACTTGCTAACTCGCTAACTCTCTACATAAAAACACACAAAAGGTGCAATATTTTTTGAACTTTCTTGATGGGTTTTGTTTGTTTTATGTGTTGAACTGTTAAAGATGGATTGAGGAAGTTGAAGAACCTGAAGTGCTTTTCAAATCCTTTTGTCTGAAATGCAGCTCATTTGACTGAGAAGTTCTTGCTGAGGTAATAAATTTTGTTTCTTTTAGTGATCAAAAACTGGTCAATGAGATTCTATGTTGTTAATCAAATTGATTTGAATATTTGAAACCCGTGAGCTTAAATTTAGGACCTTGGCCAAGATTTTGTAGACACTAGTTCGCCAATCAAATTGGTCTTACAGTTTCTTGGTTGAACAATTTTTACTGGAGATCAGGATGGAAAGAAACCATGAAGACATTGTCTGGCCAGGTGCCTTCTGTGTCTCCATTTCAAGGTTAACCCATTTTGCCTTTTCGTTGTTGAAAGGTTTTTTAGACCATCTAGATTTCTAGTTGAGAGGGTAGGACTTGTATCTATCCCTCTGGCCTTCACCGTTGGCGATGCACATTTTTGTCAGAGACCGTGTTTGTAATTAAGCATTGATTATTTTCTTGATTGGCCTC